TCCATTAACAGAGAGGAACACGCTACACACTGTGCTCACAGCCCCTGTGTTTCGTTACAGTCCAGCTGAAGGACAGCTACGAATCCAGCACCTTCTTCTTCTTGGTGTTTGACCTGTAAGTACCAGCTTGCCCATCACCATCTTCCCAAGCCCATTCCCGCTCTGCAGATGGCCACCAGCCAACACTCACCCCAGCTTTTTATGGCCCAAACAGGGCAAAGCAGGGGGACAACCAGCTTAAGGTAGAAACAAGCCTCGATTGCTGCGAGCCAGCTCGTGGCAGCCTTGCTGCCAGCAGCATTTCCCCTCTGTCAGCGGCTCAGCGCTGCTCAGGTTTCCCCGTAACCTTTGGTGGGAGCCGTCATGCATCCCTGCGGGTTATTTATATGCCCAGCGGGACCAGGGCGCGCATGATGCTGCGACTCCTGACGCCGTTGCGGCCCGATGGAGGTCAGCGGAGGGGGATGGCACTGGGAGAGCCCTGTCCCTGTCCCATCCGAAACCCGCCCTCTCCAGGGACAGCCTTTTTCTCCTCTTGCCTGATGTTTTGCAGCGATACAGAGGCATTTTTACCCCTTTTTATTAACAAGTCAGCTTGTCGTTTTGTGCAATGGCTGCCCTGGGCTGTTGAGGGGCACTGACCCCCTCTGTTTCCCCTCCCGCACGCAGGATGAAGAGAGGGGAGCTCTTTGACTACCTCACCGAGAAAGTCACCTTGAGCGAGAAGGAAACCAGGTAAGGCCAGATGCAGATGGCTGAAAAATCACGTTTCAAAAGCAAAGCGTGGCTTTGAGGAGCGACCTTGCAGCCGGCGCGGCACCCACGGGCAAAACAGCGGCCCAGGCTGCGCCCCCGCGCTCAGACGTCGGGGTGGAGCTGCGCGGTCCCTGTCCCCATCCCCGGGAGCGCGGTGCTGGTGGGCGTTCGGGCCAGGAGAGATGCTGTCACCCATCCCCAGGAAGATCATGCGTGCGCTGCTGGAGGTGATCCAGTACCTCCACTCCATCAACATCGTCCACCGGGACCTGAAGCCGGAGAACATCCTCCTGGATGACGACATGAACATTAAGCTGACGGACTTCGGCTTCTCCTGCCAGCTGCACGAGGACGAGAAGCTCAAAGGTAGGAGGATGGCGAGGCGGGGGCGATGCCGGGCTGGCCCGTGGCCGCCCCGTGGCTGCAGTGCCCACGGCGAGTCGGTAGAATCTCTCCAGCCCCACCGTCTCCTTGGGGGTGGTCTTGCTGCCGCAGGTGTAAATCTGTGCCTGTTGGCTTGGGGCGCCCTCCAGCTCGCCCGGGAGCCTTGCTCCGCCCGCGCACGGCCGCTGTACTGCGCTCCTTGCCATGAAGGAGTTGCTGCCCATTAGGAAAACCATCCTATTCTTTCCACTTCTTTTTTCCTCCAGTTGATCCTCATTACCCCATCCATTTACTGCCCAACATTAAGGGTTTTTTTCCCCCCAACTCCTACCTTGCAAACAGCCACATATCCAGCAAGGGGCATCCCCTCCCACCAGCATCCCCGTCGCTCTCTTTGCTCACTTTTTAGCCACTATAATTCACTGAGAAAAGTCACCAGCGAGACACATGTGAGTTGCAGTGACTCCCTGCAAGGACCATCACTGCAAAGATCCCACCTGGGGCCCAGGCCCCCCTCACCGACTGCTTGGGGGTGGGTGGGGATGGCACAAACCCTCCCGGGTGCCTCAGGGGGATGCTCTGGCCTGTCTTCACAGAGATCTGCGGCACGCCTGGCTACCTGGCCCCCGAGATCCTGCAGTGCTCCATGGACGATGAGCACCAAGGCTACGGGAAGGAGGTCGATATGTGAGTGAGGCGCCTGCCTTGCTGCCTTCCCCCTCGGGCTGCTCCCAAAACACATGTGGTTTGAGGCAGGTGGGGAGTTGTGCAGGTGGGGACCCATTTGAGCGTTTGGAAGGAATTAAATGATGCGCTGAAAGACAATGTCAGGGGCTGCGAGGGGTTGTCCTGGTTCCAGGGGGGCTCTGGCACAGAGCTGGGGGAGAAGCAGCCTGGAGCTGAGCCCGTCTCCCTGGTTTGCCCCATCCGGGAGGAGTGAAAGCAACACTTTCTGCTCATAAAAATCAACTCAGGCTGGGCTCCAAGACACAAGGCTTCTTAAACACGCCCTGTAGCAAGACTTGAACCCAAGGCAGCCCCTGAGAGAGCAGCCAGCTCAGGAAAGCCCGTCAGAGCCCTGCAGGGCCTTTGCCATCATCTTGGGTGGCTTCAGGCTCAGGTCTGCAGCAGTCGGAGCTGTAACCAACCACTCAAAACACACCGGGGCCTTTCAGCCCCTTTTCAGTTTAAATACCTCCGTTAACTCCCACGCCAGGACACTTTGCACACCCCAGCCTGAGCTGAGACAGCCCCCAGGGCATCCAGCCTCACTGGCACCACCGTGTCCCACCCTCTGACATCCTCTCCCTCCCCTAAAAATATGCAAGAAAACCCAAGAAAGGCAAATACCTCCAACTCACAGCTTCCTCCTGCAGCCTCCAAGGGAGCAGCTCCACATCAGCTCAGCCTCAAACCCCTCCCCAGCAGCTGGGCAGCCCCTGCTCCTTATTACCCATCAGGGCTAACGAGCCTCAGCAGTGAGCTCCCCTCCTTCCTCAGACACCCCTCGGGGCAGTATCCTCCTGGTTTTCCAGGGAGGCAAAGCCACATGTAGCCCAGCATGTCCCAGTTGTGGGGGGAGGCACCGAGCTACCCTTGGGGCACGGATCCGGCCGGTTGCCCCTGGGGTACGACCTGGGGCTGGAGGGTCTGGCTGGGCTGCCCGCAGGTGGAGCACCGGGGTGATCATGTACACCTTGCTGGCCGGCTCGCCTCCCTTCTGGCACCGCAAGCAGATGCTGATGCTACGGATGATCATGAACGGGGACTACCAGTTTGGCTCCCCGGAGTGGGACGACCGCTCAGACACCGTCAAGGACCTGGTGGGTGCTTGGGGATGGGAAAACCTGGGGAGGGAGTTGCAGACACCTGGGATACCCCGGGTCGAGCCGGTGCCGTCCTGCAGATCTCCAGGTTCCTGGTGGTGGACCCGCGGCAGCGGTACACGGCCAGCGAGGCGCTGGCCCACCCCTTCTTCCAGCAGTACGACGTGGAGGAGGTCCGGCACTTCAGCCCCTTCCGGAAATTCAAGGTGAGGTTGGGTATGGAGGTGTCTCTGCACCCTGACCCTGAGCCCAGGAGCTGCAGGAGCCGAGCGGTGGGATGGATCCCTCAGCTGAGCTGGGACAAACTGGGAGTTCAACAAGGCTGATGGACCTGGGCTTTGGCAGGATGCTGCAGCCTGGGTGGAGACCTTTCTCTAAGCATTACGGTGCTTACGTTCTGGTACTTCCTAGGGGCTTTTTCACAGAAGGGAATTAAATGAGAGAAGGGGAAAACCTGCCTCCCACCCCTCAAAAAAAAAAAAAAAGAAAAAAATCACTTTCTAACTGGGAATCGAGAAGGCTGACGTCACATGGGTGCATCGAATGATGCAAAAGTTGATAAAACAGAGAAGTCCTTTCCCCTTGCTTATAGCCAGCCATTAGGGCAGCTCCAAGGGACCTGAAGTGGCGTTAGGTGACACATTTAGGACTGACCCACAGTTTTAACATTAAGGCCACCCTTGGAAAAGGCCTGTACCGCTCACGCGGGAATAAATACCTGTGCCAGGAGCCGGGCGCCCTCCCGCCTCCTCCGTGTGGGTCGCGGGGATGTGTTGGGGCTGATCCGGTCCCGCTGTAGGACTGGCCACACATTCCAGCCTGTTCCCCCTGTGCTGCAGGTGATCTGCCTGACCGTCCTGGCATCGGTCCGTATTTACTACCAGTACCGGCTGGTCAAGTCGGTCACCAGGGAGCTGGTGGTGCGGGACCCGTACGCCCTGAAGCCTGTCCGCAAGCTGATCGACGCCTGTGCCTTCCGGACCTACCGCCACTGGGTGAAGAAGGGGGAGGCGCAGAACAGAGCTGCCCTCTTCGAGAACACCTGCAAGGCCATTTTGCTGACGCTGGCGGCCGAGGAAGGGCTGTTCTGATCGCCGCTGCGTCAGCCGACGAGTTTGCTCAGAGTTAAGGCGAGTAAAAGCTTTGAAAAGCAACCGGTGATTTCTCTCGCTTTTTCTTAGAGACGCTGCTGGCCTCGGGTCAGGTGCAAGTGCAAACCCAGCAGATCCCCGGGGTACATCCCGTGGGAAGGGGTGGGTTTGGAGAAGCTGCCTCTGACAGAGCCGTAACCAGCTGCAGCTCCCGGTGCGCCCGGAGCAGCTGATCTGCTCGGGGAAGGCTCAGCTCAGCCCCGGAGCGGGACCCTGTCAGGGCAGTCGCAGGTCAGGAGGGATGAGCAGTGGCTGGAGGGGTGTCCTCACCCACCCCTCTGCTCGGGGCTGTGGTGGCAGAGCTGGTTTGTAGCCTTTATGCTGGTTGTAACCCCTGGGAGGGCTGGGGCACTGGTTTGTGTCATCTGTGCCCTGCGACATGAGCACGCACGTGTATGTGTTTAAGGGTCAATAAAGGCACCTTGTTTCACTCTGGGAAGGCTCAGAGGCTGGTACAAAGCTGGGATTTGAGTCCCCCTTGCAGGGACCTGTCCCCATCATTCCTCCTCCTGCAGCCGCCCCTCCTGGCAGCCCCAAGCCGGCGGGGACTGGGGGCGGCTGCGGGTGTTCACTCGCTCCGGCTGGGGCTGGAAGTCAGAGCAGCTCCGGCCCGATCCCACCCCACCCCTCTGCTTATCTAACATGGGCACCCCAAGGAGAGCTGCCATCTCTACCCCACCAGGAAGGACCCTGAAGACAAACCACCCTGCCTGCCATTCCCCGTCGCTGCTCATGCCCAGACGTCCCAGCGCAGAAAGGAGTTTTAGCTGAAAGTGTTTATTTTTCATTTTTAAAACTGTCTGGGTTTAATGGAAGGGACTGCTGGGGGTTACTGTTCATCTCCACAGGAGAAAACGCCTTCAGCTCTTCCTGAGTGACCTCGTCAGAGCTCAGGTCTGGTCCGGCTTTTCTCGGCCGTGACGGGCGGGACGTCGGCAGCGCAGCGGAAGCTGAGGTTGTCGGAGGCCGAGTCTGGCGTGTTCCCCATTCTCACGGGGAAAAAGAGACCCCAGATCAGGGAGCCCTCCTAGTTAACGCTTGTATCACTCAATGTGACCCTCTGTAACAGACTAGAAACATCTCCCACTTCCCTGGAATAACTTCAAGAAAAGCATTTAATTCGAAATACTTGATGGAAAATACACGATTCGAGAAGCAATTAGGAACGTATTTATAGCATTTTTATCCATATTTGCAATATGTTTTCCTCACTGCTTCTCAGGAAAACAGAGTAGGAACGAATGTCTTTTAAAATAACCCCCGCCCCCCTTCCAAATAAAACCAAGCCAGACCGCGAAACAGCCCCTGGGCATCGCCCAGACCTACCTGGTGGTGACACGAGCTTTATGGTTTGCAGACCCGTCGGCGGTGTCGATCCACGAGGCGCCTCTCAGGACCCGCATGTTCTGAGGGCGCTGCCTCGACGAGAGCCCCGGCGCCAGGTACTCGCCCGCCGTCCACTCCCAGGTGTTCCCCAGCAGGTCGTAGAGCCCTGAGACACGGACGCTTTTGCGTCAGGCCCATGAGAGCACCTTTGCAGGGGCTGCAGAAGCACTTTGGGGTATGGGAGGGGGGGACGCGACGTTCAAAGCATCGCTGCAAGAGCGTGGTTTAATGGTGAGACTGGGAACCAGCAACTCTTTGCTGTATTGCAAACTGGCCCTGGTTTATAACTGGACCTTTACTGCGTCGTTGTTTCCCACCTGCGTCAGGGCATGGCACCCGCCGCCCTCAAAACAACGTCCTCAGGATTTTCAGGTAAATCCCACTGAAGTGCCAGACAACCCACTTCTAGTTAAAAGCAGGGGATGGTTTGGTGCATTGAAGTGCACCGGGTGCTCCAGTGCTTTTCTGGGCTCAGTTATTCTATCAAAATGCTGATGTGATGCTACATCACACCTGAAACTCTGCCACAGCTGCAGGATTTTGTAATTAGCGTGAATTTAGGAAGCAGGTGCCACCCCCCCAAACCAGGGCGGGGAAGGCCTGCTCCGTACCGTAGTTGTTCTGAGGAGGGAACGCTGCCACCGGCGAGACGCCGTGATAACCATCTTCAGCCGTGTCGACGCGGGGGAAATCGCCCTGCGGGAAGAAAGATCACTGTGAGCAAAGACCCACCGCGGAGACACCACCAAGTCCTGCCCTTCACAGGACAGGGTTACGCTTGAATAACAAAAATAACTCCATTGCAAATACCTCCATGCAGCAGCATTTCTGGTTGGGAGAGGAGATCCTCCCAAGACAACCCCCTTTTCAAACAAATTTAGGTATGAACTTTTGGTTACGTATGAATTTTTGGAAGCAGCGAAATCCTCACGTGCCAGGGAAGCTGGGCTGAGCCTGCTCCCTCCCAGGGTATTTTGGATAACGCGGCAGGAGCTGAATTCCCTGCAGCTAAGCCAAGCCCCCACTGCTCCCCAGGACCTCGCAGCCTGCTCAGGCAGCCGCGCACGCCCTGCTGTAGAGTTAAAACATCACCCCCAGAAGAGCTCAGCGTAGATGGGATGATTTTTAGGGTCTTACCTGCCACAGATTTGTACGGTTTGGCTGAAACTTGTTGCCCCAGGGATACACCCTTTCTGCCAAGGAGAAAGAGACACCCATCACCCCTGTATCACTCCAGCCTCTGCATTTGCCTATTTTTAACCAGTTTTTTCTGACTCCTTTTCTGCGCAGCTCGGGACACCGAGAGGGGATAGATACGTGGGGCTCGTGGGTCTAATCCCTACAGACACTGCCGAGGAGGAGCGATGGGAATCGCCACAGCTTCCCATTTGCAAACCACCGCTCAGGCCGGGGAGTCCCCCGCTCCCCGCAGCAATCCCAGCGGCTACATCAGTGTGGGGGTGCAGGTGGGTCACTCCTTGCCCTAAACCCAAGAAATTATATTTTTAGCTGGCAGAAGTGCTTTGTTTAGGAAGATAGATTAAGACCACAGGTAAGCCACTTCTTCCTATATTATTATTATTATTATTACTATTATTACTGCGACTACTATTAATTTGACATGAGGCCAAAAAAGGTGGTTCAGCCCCCAGATTAACCTCTGAAAACACCCCTGGACGGAGGTTTGGCTCTGGTAGAACTGACATAACTCAATGCCTCGGTGGTACGTACGCTCCAGTCCTCCCCTGGCAGCAAATTCCCACTCCTCCTCTGCCGGGAGCCTCTTCCCTTTCCAGGCGCAGAACGCCCGCGCGTCGTTCCAGCTCACGTGCAGCACTGGGTGATCCAGCCTGTCCTTTATGCTGGAGCCAGGACCCGAGGGCTGGGAGGAATTGCATCAAACGTTTTAATTGATTTTATGAACTCTGCAATTAAAAAGGGACTAAAGGACAGAACAGGCCAAGGCAGGGAATGTGCAGCAACCAGAGATGCCATTTTTTCCCCCATTTTTGGTCGGCAAGGTTCAGCACACACCAACACGCGCCCGCTCCTGGCCTGGGGAGGACTCACCGCACCGGGTTTTGACTCACCTGCCGCCAAAAAGCCTTCTCGATGGGCAGCCACCAAGGGGCAGACTGGGAAAAGAAACGACACCAGATTAAAGCTGAACGGGCGACACCCCCCTGACACCATCCTGCAGCAGCCGTGTGGGAAGAAGAGCGCTTGTTAGTCTGGAAATGGTGAAACGCTGCTGTTTGAGCTGGGTTATGGCAGGCATTTTGGTAATGCTTTCCAGCAGAGTAGAGGCACGTGCTTTTAAAAGTGAGATCGAGGAGCCCACGCTGGTTAGGTTTTCTATTTTAAGGTTTGATTAATAAGGTACTTTGAAACGGTGCTTTGCTCTCTCCCAGCTCCCTGTAAACAGGGGAGCGCCATAAATCAACCCAGGCTCAGCCCTGCTGTTCGTTTCACAAGCAAAACAACCGAGGACTAAAGAAAAAACACTGCGAAAGGCCAGGCTCTGCGCTGCTCAGTGCAAAAGCAATACCTGCAAGGGTCTCCCCTGCTGTTTGTTTTTTTTTTTTTTACTTAAAACAGAGAGGTCAGACAGGGATGTGAGCAGGGATACCATCTCCATCATCATCATCACCGACACTCAGCCCCACAGGATTTAGATTTACCTCCAGTTTTTGGGTGACTTTTTTTTTCAGCTCTTCAGACACGAAATCCTCAAAGACAAAGCTCCAGCCAAATGCTTCTGCTTCTGTTTTGTATTTCTTTTCTCTAACAAACTCCCTGGCATAAACACGACACGCTCAGGCGTCTGGGTAAGCGTTCGTCAAGAGTCACACCACCAAACACAGCGATCTGCACACGGGACAAGTTCAGGGCAAGGCAAAACGTGCACGGCCTACAGGCACCCCATCTGTGGAGAGTCCCAGCTCCTCCCCGGCACAACTCTAGTCAGTTTGATTTAGATTTAACAGATAAAACAGTCTAATTTGCATCTCTTCACAGATCTGATGGTTTTTTATGTTACCTGTGCAGGTACACTCACCCTGCACTCTGGTCTTCTGTAAAATGTAACAATTGCATTGATGAAAAATCCCTTAAAAGCTACTAAACCTATGGCTGCTGTTAGTTAAATGTCCCCAAAAAGCAAAAAAATGTCACCGACTGATGAATAATCTCACCCTGCTTCTGTCCCGTTTGTTTCCCCATCGCCTGAGTCGCAGTAACTGCCGTTACTGTGTGTTGCTGGGCAGTTACTGGTGCGTGGAAGTGTTGGCTCTTCTTAAAGAAGGGCTCAGACAGACAAATAAAGGCATTTCCCCCAGGGCGTTTATTAGTGCTTCTGTACAAGGGCTGCTATAAAAAACACGGAGGAGTGATCCTGTATTTACAAATGGAAACTGAACCTACAGGAACGTGAAATCTGAAGCAGTACAACCCTATTAATAGGGAAAAGGAGAGGGGAAAAGAAAAGGAGAGGGGAAAAGAAAAGGAGAGGGGAAAAGAAAAGGAGAGGGGAAAAAAAAAAGGAGGGGAAAAGAAAAGGGGAAGGGTGAAGAAAAGGAGGGAAAAGAAAAGGAGAGGGGAAAAGAAAAGGAGAGGGGAAAAGAAAAGGAGAGGGGAAAAGAAAAGGAGAGGGGAAAAGAAAAGGAGAGGGGAAAAGAAAAGGAGAGGGGAAAAGAAAAGGAGAGGGGAAAAGAAAAGGAGAGGGGAAAAGAAAAGGAGAGGGGAAAAGAAAAGGAGAGGGGAAAAGGAGAAGCAGCAGCCTGTTTGCAAGCTACACTGTTCGGATGCTCCACCTTGCACCTGCAGAGGTGATTTATTACTGACAGACCCATTCTTTTGTTTGACCCAAGCGTTGGCTTTCAGACCCCGGGAACCAGCCCCAAAAGACCCGGCACCAGCCCCCACACCACCCTCCCCTCCCTGCGAGCCAAGCGGCCCCGCACCTTCGCTCGTACCTGAAATCCCGGTTGGTGACGGGGTATTTGTCGATGGCAAACGGCTTCACCCTCACCGCCCTGAGGGGCCCCTCCTCGTTCCTCTTCTCCAGGGAGCCGGATCCCATCTGAAACTCCCCCCCGGGCAGCTGCACCATGCTTTCCTCCTTTCCAAATGCTGCAAGCGAAGACATTCAGGATGAGAACTTTCATTTTGAAACACGACAACGTGCGTTATTCGCCAGAAAGTCGCTTTATGCCCGGGACGTAGCTGCACTATAGCGAGTGACTGCGGTGAGCCTTTGTAGCCCGCGCTTTTTTTTACTGATAACAAGCTTAAACCACGGTAAAGCCGCGCTGTCAGTGTCTCTCTTGGGAAAGGT